GCAGCACAAACCCAACTACCCCCTCCCCCCACCCACACACACACCCAATTCTCTGGGATGATCCCTTCACCCCTCCCCCCCACTGCGTGGCTAACAGCGGGGAACATTTCTGTTCAGCCGAGCAGGAATGGGGACCTCTGAATGCCCCCTTAATAAAATCACCCCATTTCAATCAGGTGACCGTGAATGATATCACTTTCCTGAGGATAACAAAGGGAGATAAGGAATGGATGTTGTCTGCATGCCAGCATACACCGGGACCATACGCTGCCATGCTTTGTTATGCAATGATTCCAGACTACGTGCTACTGGCCTAGTGTGGTAAAGTGTCCTACCATGGTGGATGGGATAAGGCAGCCCTCCCCAGAAACCTTTTGCAAAGGCTTTGGGAGTACATGAAGGAGAGCTTTCTGGAGATGTCCCTGGAGGATTTCCGCTCCATCCCCATACATGTTAACAGACTTTTCCAGTAGCTGTACTGGTCGCGATTGCCAGGGCAAATTAATCATTAAACACAGTTGCTTTTAAACCATGTGTAATATTTACAAAGGTACACTCACCAGGGGTCCCTTGTGTGCCCTCAGGGTCTGGGAGCATGCCTTGGGTGAGTTCGGGGGTTACTGGTCCAGGGTGATAAACATATCCTGGCTGTTGGGGAAACCGGTTTCTCCGCTTCCTTGCTGTGAGCTATCTTCATTGTCTTCATCATCATCCTCATCATCACCTTCCGCGTACCCTGAACCCGCTTCCCTGTTGCATGTTTCTCCATTGATGGAGTCAAAGCACACGGTTGGGGTAGTGGTGGCTACACCCCCTAGAATGGCATGCCGGGTAACCAGTGCGCGGGGCTGCGCCCGGAGCAGCTGCGGGGTCCCCAGGAGCCGCCGCCCCGCCCGGAGTCGCGTTCCAGGGGCTGCAGCCGCAGCTCAGAGGGTAGGCGCCTCCTGCGCTCTCCGACCTACCCGCGAATGCTAATTTCCATACCCAGAATGCATTGCGCACCCTCAGCCGCGTCCCTGGTCCATGGGCTGGGTGTGCTCCAGAGACCCTGGTTCCGAGGAGCAAACGCACGGTTTAATCGGGCCGGTGCACGGGGCTGTAGAAACGCGGGGTTTAGCCACCGGTAAGTGTAGTCACCGTGACATTGTAAAGTGTTGCTCTTGGCATGGCAGCTCTTCTGCGGAGTGTAGGGTATACTCTGGTTTCTCTTCAGATCGTATAAATCTTTCGCCTTTTACTAAAGATTTCCGTGGAGAGGAACATTTATGTGCGGCTCTGCCCCAGACCGTTTGCCTCTCTGGCTTTGTGGTAGGTTTGCCTTAGCTCTTTAATTTTCATGCGGCACTGCTGTGCGTCCCTGTTATGGCATCTGTCCTTCATGGCCTTTGAGACTTTTTTTCTAATATTTTGCCATTTCGTTTACTGCTACGGAGTTCAGCTAGCACTGATTCGTCTCCCCATATGGCGAGCAGATCCCGTACCTCCTGTTCTGTCCATGCTGGAGCTCTTTTGCGATCCTGGGACTCCATCATGGTTACCTGTGCTGATGAGCTTTGCATGGTCACCTGTGCTCTCCACGCTGGGCAAACAGGAAATGAAATTCAAAAGTTCGCGGGGCTTTTCCTGTCTACCTGGTCAGTGCATCTGAGTTGAGAGTGCTGTCCAGAGCGGTCACAATGAAGCACTGTGGGATAGCTCCCGGAGGCCAATAACGTCTGATTCCGTTCACACTATCCCAAATCCGACCCGCAAAGGCCGATTTTTAGCACTAATCCCCTCGTTTGGAGATGGAGTAAAGAAACCGGTTTAAAGGGCCCGTTAAGTCGAAAGAAAGGGCTTCGTCATGTGGATGTGTCCAGGCTTAATTCGATTTAACCCTGCTAAAGTCGACCTAAACTCGTAGTGTAGACCAGGCCTTAATTAAACCCAGCCTGGGGTTTCTCAGATCTTTTACCATTTTTAGCCACTTGAGGCAGGTGTCCAGTGCAGATAATAGGCCAAAGAGCCAGCAACCAGAAAATAAGAGACATGTGATTTCTCTGGTGGACCCTAGGTCTATGGAAAAGTGGAGATCTGGAGAGTAGGGACCCTCTTTGGTACCTTCAGTCCCCTTTGGAGGAGGAAAAGGAGAGGATTCAGCAGAGGAAGATGAAACATTTGCATAGGCACTAGGGAGGCTACCCTTAGAATGGGCTATATGATAAATGCCCTATGAACCCTACACTGAACGCACCTAATGCCTAGCATGGGGAGATGGATAGATAGTGCCTGTCTTCGATGTGAAGTTTTAATAAAGTGGCCTGCTGCTTAAAATCCATCCCCATGTTTGTCCTTGTTCATTTGCGTGTCCTGATCAATAAACAAGATCCTGCCCAGCTTTTCCAAACAGTGGTGGTGTGGTTCTGCTGTGTGGAGGAAGGGCAGGATGAGGAGGGCGCACACACGGAGACTCTGCTGTACCCTTTACGTGCAAGGATTTTAGTGGTTACTCCACTGCAGAGTGAAGGCTGGGGGAGAGCTGGGGATAGTGCGGGGTAGGCTAGAAGAGGAATGAGGAAGTAGCCAGCGGTTACTTGAGCAGGGCCAATTGCATCCTAATGAAGTGAGAATACAAAAGCTGGGAAAGATGCTGCAGCAGTGGCCATGCTGTGATTCCAGTTCCCCCCAAGCCTGAAGAGATGGTTCCATGACCCTTCGTCCCCAGGGAGAATCCCTGTGCAAAGCCTATTTATTCAGGGGTTGTGCGGTGGTCGAGGATTTGTTTCTGGGGTTGTCTATAAAAGTTGTTGGTTAATAGTCATTTATTTGTGAAAACGGGGCATCGGAAGGTGAGAAATATCACAAATTAAAGGCAAAATGGGTTCCCACAGTACACAACTGACCATGTAGTTGGCTTAGGAACGTTCCATTTTTTGGAGGGAGGGGGTGCAATTCTGTTTGCATGCTTTCACAAAGAATTCCTGAGCAACTAGTTTCCTGAGCGGGGATCTGTTCATTATGTGCACTACTGATGAAGCCACATTTCTCTACCACAGATTGATTGTAACAAATGTTCAGTGACCAGACATTAAATTTGGATCTTCTGTTAACTAATGGATCACTTAACAAAGTTACTGGTTGGTTTGTGGTTTAAATTGTTGTGGCTAGTTTTTGCAGTGTGACATATCAGAGTACAATCCAGACTAATGAGTAGCTGTGTCACTCCTGCCCTCTAACCTGGGGTGCCCTTAAACACTGCTTTGCTGCTGTTGTCTTGAGTCTGGACTGCTCACTAACAGCCTCCAGCATGTAAGTCACTCCCAGCACACAGCCAGCGAGGCACACCTTGGTCCTTACCAGTCTTGGTTATTCTGTAGGGTGACCGTAACACCCCCCCCAATCCCAGATTTCCTCCCAGAAATGTATGTCCTTTACTGCTATGCCCTCTCCGAGACAGTACAAATCTATTGAGTCCTTTATTCCTTTAAGGGACTAATTATGCACACAACTTGTTACCCCAAATGGAGTTACCCAGACACTTCAGCTTGAACTCATTGGATTAGATAAAACAATAAACAAGTTTATTAACTAGAGAGAGATTAAAGAGAGATTTTAAGTGAGTGCAAGTAATGAGGCATAGAAGTCAGACATGGTTACAAGAAAAATAAAGATAAAATGCTTACTGATGCCTAACTTAACAAGCTACGTTAGATTCAAAGCAAAGATTTCTCACCACATGCTTTCAGCAGTCTCACTGACCAGACTCTTTAGGTCAGGACCCCTTCCCTGGAGTCCAAAGGCTGCTTTCTTTGTCTCTTCAGGTGCAGTGAATGCAATGGGCAGGGGCAGAGAGAGGGTGCTTTGGGGTGTTTATCCCTCCTTTTTATGTTTTGACTCCCTCTTGAAAAACATTTCCACCTGAGACCCAAGAGACAAAGAGTCTATGTGGAAGGATGTTCTCTTCTGGCTTTTTCCATGTGTTTTGAACTTCCTTTGTTTTCCTTCCCTGTTTGATTACTCTGTATACTGCTTAAATGCAAATTAAGGCAAGCACACATTCCCTCCTTTGTTTAGAACAGACCTGACTTCTGCCTAGGCAGGACTGTGGGGTTTGAAATGTGTTAATAACATCATGCAGGGAATCTTATAACTTCACATGCAATGTTGCTGTACGTACTTTACACTAGGACAGTACTGACCAGCAAATTGAGTTTTCACATGATACCTTACAAGGTATACTTTTACAAAAATTGTTACAATACTGTGTAGGGTGTGTACACGGGTTATATTCTGTCACATACGTTACAATACTGTAAATATTTTGTTTGGTGGAGTAGTGTTGGGAGAAGGAACTTAGTATGATCAAAGGGATAATATTTACACAAGAGAGTATCCCCAAATGTCACCATATAAGGAGCTTTTGCCTTGTTTAAATACAACTTATTTTGCAACTTATAAGTCAGATCAATTCTTGAGGCTGTTTCTATGTAGTTTTAATTTTTGAAAAAGTTATAATTGGCAAGATCTGCCAGCATGATGATGATTTTAAAATGTCAGATATAACACACTAGAATTTCTGTAGAAGACAAAAATCACTGTTTACCTATTAACATTGTATAGAGTTTTGTTACAAAAATGGTTAAAGATATGTATGAGGATGTTGTTTTTTTATCTTGATGTAATAGTAATATATTTCCCTTTGTTACATGTACAATACAGTTTTATATAGGAAATTGATAGAAACCTTTTTTTAAACTTTTGTAGATTGGCAAATTAGCTAAAATTGAATGTCAGTTGTGAAAATCAAGAGATCAATAATTTTTACATAGTAAGTTTGTTTATTGAAAGGGAACTTATTAAAGCTTTCACATGAAATGTATTTTTATATATCTATATAAAAAGGGGTTTCAGTATACCTGCGTCTACTATATAGAGCTTTATATTTCACCATTGAAATTTTAGTAGCTACCTTTCAGATCTGACTTTGGCATTGAAAATAATGTTGTTTTGCTCTGTATGACAACAAAGAACAAGAACTGTTTAAGATAATGTAGGAGAGTAGACGCTGATATAGCGGAAATTGTCTAACAAGAATGCAAGCTAAAAAAACTGAAATAGGTTGATGGCTCATTGGCTCCAAATCTACTTTGCCAGCAGAATATAAAAAGCTTACTAATACACAACCAGAATGACAGTTTAAACTAATGTATTTATTGGAAGTGTGGCTAAAGTTAGGAAAGACGCAACATACAGTATAGTTTTCAGTCTCATTATACCAATATCTTCCATTAATTCTTTCACGTAGTTTTGTCTATTCACACTTCTATGCAGCTTAAATGATAAGATGTAAGAAATTTATGACAAAATCGGACTTTTTGGCTGGATGGTTAGATTTATTGAAGCTAATGAAAGTGCCATTGCCTCAGAAGGGCAAATGAGTTTCATGTTGTCTTTCCCCTCTGATGCATACCATAGCTACTTGGGAAGCTTAGGCTCATGTATCAGAGGGGTAGCCATGTTAGTCTGTATCCACAAAAACAATGAAGAGTCTGGTGGCACCTTAAAGACAAACAGATTTATTTGGGCATAAGCTTTCATGGGGAAGCTTATGCCCAAATAAATCTGTTAGTCTTTAAGGTGCCACCAGACTCCTCGTTGTTTTTTTGTTTTTTTTAGGTTCATGTGTTGTTTAAAGAAAGATGTAGCACTATTGGAACCCAGGTAAAACTCGTGCATACACAAAATAAAAATAATCAAGGGTCTGCTTTGATTTTTCCCCCCTCGCTTAGTTATTTATTAAAATGATTTGCATACAGATTTTTTTCTTTTTCAATATTAATTCATCATCCTTTATATAGGAACTGTGTAAGCCTCAGGGCCAGCTCCAGGCACCAGCCGAGTAAGCTCATGCTTGCAGCGGCAGATTGTACGAGGCGGCATTTGGCACAATCCTAGGGCGGCACGGCCGCTTTTTCTTTTTTTTTTTCGTTCCACTCCGGCTGCCCTGTAGGTGGCGGTGGTGTGGTGGAGAGGAGCGCCCTGCAGCAAGCCCGGCAGGGCAGCCCGCGTCCTTCCCTCCCAGCCGACCACGGTGTGGAGCCCTTTCGGCAGGCGGCTCAGCGATTGGGGCCGCTGATAGCGCCCCACTGAAGCCCTGGCCGCCCCCTTCTCTCTCTCCCCCCGCTCTCTCCCCTGCTAGCCGGGGCACCAGCGCAGGGAGTCCCCCTGCACCCTGGCTCCGGCCGCACCGCAAGTCTTTTTTTTTTTTTTTTTTTTGGCTTGAGGCGGCAAAAAAGCCAGAGCCGGTCCTGGTAAGCCTTGGCTGGCTGGAAAG